ATTTTTTAAATTGGCCAATATTTGTGTAGCTACAATCAACTCACTTTGACACGATGATGCAAAGTTGGTCCTATATCCGTCTTCTAGTTGGGGTTCTGGACAGTCGTGGACTCTCCTCGGCTCATATACACCTAGTTTCTTACAATGTGTTGGTTTTTCCACTCGTAGGTTATCGGAGCACTTTTTCGTAGCACTTCACAAACGCCTTGTTGAAAATTTATTTCTTACACTTTTTGTAACAATGATATTTACTTCTCATCACATAAACTTAAGTGAATATTTGTACAATTGAGAATTTTGAACTGATGGAAATTTTCTTAACCTCTGACGGTTGTCAAACTTCTGTAACCTCACTTATGCCAGGTAACAACTTATTTAATTATTTACTTTTTGAACTTTCTTTTGTTTTTTCAGGAGAATGAATGACGTGAACTGATCGATGAATTATGGAAGACTGGCTAGTGGCTACCACAAAACATATAATACAGTGGCTACCTAGAAGCCGTACACTAGTTTTTATAAATGAAAAACAAAACACTAGGTTGTCATGGAGATATAAATTTGGAATTTCATTAAATTTTTACTTTTCTATAGTGCCTTTATGCTTGTACTATACAACATGACACTGATGTATTTGACTTCTACACATTTTTCTGAAAATTTTGATATCTCATTATATTACGATGACATTTGAGGTTATTACAGATTTTAGCTATTTTATCAAAATTTATGCAAAATATGTTATTCAACTTAATTACATGCCACTAGTCTTGTTTCTTAACACTTCTTTAACATTACTTTCACTATTTTATACAGTTTTATATTATACAAATCGTCTGATTCTTAAATTATTTTAGGTATACCGTTCTTTGACATTCCGTACTGTTTTCTACACTATGTGATATGAATATCGGTATGCAAATGCAGTCTTGGATGCACAGAAAGTCTCATGAACACAATACAAGTCCTTTTTACATATGAAAATATCATTTATACAATAAATTTTTACATACTACTACATCAAGGTTTGACATTTCGAAAATCGCTATCAGAATCATATATAGAACTTTAATTTTGATTCCACTCATAAATATCAATGAAAGGTATGCTAAACTTTACTTATAGTCTTATTT